AGGCCGGGCTGCGGACGCTGGGATTCACTCCTGGACTGGTTGTGGTGGATGGTTGCTGAGGAGACAGAGTCATAGAAACAGTTAATGGGAGACTGTGCATCGGCCTGCGTGGTGGAGTTGATATGGAGTTGAGGAGGTCTGTGGTCCGAAGAAGCGATAGCAGCTGGGAAGATAAGACATGGAGCACAAGGCAGGAACGGAGCTGGGATGAAGAACGTGAGTCAATACATATAGTAGAAAAATAATAGATCGGAATAGAACGGGCCTGTGTATAGAAAGAACTGGCAGGGGAGTGGACGATGAGCACGGTATAAATAGCGAGAAACTAATCAGGTGCAGCTGGTGGTGATTCAGGGGACGTGAAGCAGGTGTGTCAGATAAAGAAATCAGGGGCAAGGGAGCTAAAATAGAGGGAGAGAAGTGAGAGAGGCAGGTGCAGCCGGGCAAACCTGACAAGTATAGCTTGTGCTAGAAACACCATTTCAACTCGTGAGACATTCAGCTACCACTACTACTACTTTTGAAATATTTAGCTTTATTTTGAAAATCTTGCCCCATTCAATGAATGGGAAAATTCTATTTCAGCATACTTTCAGCTATTTCAGGTATCAAAATGTTCAGCTCCTCAAGGACATTCATGCTTCTATTCAGAATTTTTGTAAATTTCATAGTTTAAAAATATGTAGCTTTATTTTGATAGTTTTGCCCCATTCCAATGAATGGAAATATTCTACTCCAGCATACTTTCAGCTATTTCAGGTATCAAAATGTTCAGCTCTTCAAGGACATTCATGCTTCTATTTAGAGGTTTTCTAAAGTTCATACTTTTGAAATATTTAGCTTTATTTTGAAAATCTTGCCCCATTCAAATGAATGGGAAAATTCTACTTCAGCACACTTTCAGCTAGCAAAACCATTCAGGTGTCAAAATGTTCAGCATTTTCAGGGCAATCTTTCCGCACTCAGCATCCATTTGCATGTTCTTCAGAAAATGCATTTCTCTAGTTTTAAGCGTAACCTGGCCTTATAGGATGAGGTTGGGTGAGATACAGGGCCTCCTCAGATAAATGAGCCAGCAATCAATGAACTCCATAAGTGAACGACAAAACTAATTAACATATCTAAACACTGTGATTATATTCCTATTCCTGTTTTGAATATTATGCATTTACACAAAGATCAATATGTGTAAGTGTAGATATGTATGCAGAAAATGTTCCAAGTTTGTTAGTTTAGTTTGAGTAGTGTTATGAGCAGCAAGGAGTCTTTTTGAACTGACAGTCTTACATAAGAAATTCCAAGCTCTTCCCACCTCACCCCTGACACAAACATACACCTCATATACTGAAGTGGGCTGATTTTAGCTCAACCCACTACAGTGAGGAGAGTCTGTACTACTACTTTATGTGTGTGCTTGAGGACTCACATTGTTCATGTGCTTGTGTGCGTTTTCAAGTCATTTCTAAAATTGTGCACTAATAAAACAGTGTGATTCATCTATCAGGCCTCTGCTCTCTCTTTGTCAGCAGAGCAGGTAAGCTGTGTTAAGTTTCAACTGTAAGTGTGAAACTGTGGGCTTGTATGACTGCATTCTCTCATACCTTACCTCCCAACACCAGATGTGTCTTCAAACACCCAACACAGACACTATGGCCCCAGGACCACAAACTCCGACTTTCACTTTTACCTGGAGGCAGTAAATGTAAATGAATTGTCTAATAAGCTTACAGAAATCATTCTATGAAGTTTGGTATAAATCTGACTCTGGTACAAGTGTTTAGACTTTACTAAATGCAGATAGAAATGCAGTCATTCCTGGACAAATCTTAGATAGGCCACTAGCGACACCTTTTGGGTGAAACTGGATACTACATCTTTTGTAAAGCAGCCTCAGTGAACAATTAATAAAATTGATGATGTACAAAGGAATAAACTTGGTTGGTGGGAAATGTGGGACATGGAGGTAGGAAGGATTACATTCATTTTAGGCACAACTAATGATGTGCTGACCAAATGACAGGAGTTTTCCTGGACATTTTTAACCTGTCTCTGCATCTTGCTTCAGTCCCTGTGTGCCTCAAGTCACCGTCACTGTGCCTGTGCCCAAGAAATCAGCTGTCACCTGCCCCAATGATTACCGCCCTGTTGCTCTGACAACAGTAATCATGAAGTGCTTTGAGAGGATCATCCTAAAGCACATGAAGGACGTCATCCCTGTTGGTCTGGACAGCCATATAGTTTGCCTATAAAGAAAACCGATCAACAAAGGACGGTGTCTCAATAACATTACACACAGCCCATCTTAACATTTATGTCAGGATGCTATTTGTTGACTTCAGTTAAGCATTTAATACTGTAATCCCAGAGAAACTGGTACTGAAACTGCACAATCTGGGAATGCCTGCAATGATGTGTCATTGGATTAAGGACTTCCTCAATAACAGGCCTCAAGTGGTGAGAATTGGAAGCTGCACATCATCCACACTAGTCCTGAACACAGGAACACTACAGGGCTGTGTGCTCAGCCCAGTTGTCTTTACTCTGTTTACTCATGACATCAAGTTCCTGGGCATCCACATCACATCTGACCTGACCTGACCTGGTCTCTGAACACATCCTGCCTGGTGAAGAAAGCCCAGCAAAGGCTTTTTCTTCCTCAGGAAGCTGAAATGTGCTGGACTGCTGTAATCCCTCTCGCAAACTTCTACAGAGTGACAGTCGAGCGCACCCTCTTTCAGTGTGGTATGGGAGCTGCACTGCACAGGACAGAAAGGACTTGACCCGGGTGGTGAAAACAGCTCAGGGCATTGTAGGGAGTTCTCTTCTGGATCTGGACTCACTGATCAGATCCAGGGGAGGGCCAGATGGATTGCTGCAGAACCCACCCAGACAACAGTTTGTTTGCATCAGGTGACCCTGAGCCTTCCCTTAGTTAGGCTGCTATAGGCCTAGGCTGCTGGGGGGCCCCATGATGCTCCGAGTTTCTCTCCTCCCCTCCCCTCCCCTCTCCTCTCTCCCTATGCATCTATATGCCACCATTACACATCACTAACTTTGTGTTTCCTCTCTCCCGTAGTGTGTCCTCTCTTTCTCTCCCTGTACATTTCTGCAGGTATCCCTGGCCCTGGAGCTCTATGTTTCTGATGAGCAGTCACCGGCCACGTCAATCTGACCAGTGTTTGATTGTTTGTTCTGTCCTGTTGCTTTTCTTCCTTTCTCTCTCCTCTATCCACTCACCCCAACCGGTCGAGGCAGAAGGCCGCCCACCAAGAGCTGGGGTCTGTCTGAGGTTTCTTCCGTTAAAGGGAGTTTTTCCTCCCCACTGTCGCCAAGTGCTTGCTCAAGGGGGATTTGTTGGGTTTTCCCTCTGTAATAATAGTGATATAGTAAGGTCTAGACCTTACTTTGTAAAGTGTCCTGAGATGACTGTTGTGATTTGGTGCTATACAAATAAAATTTGATTTGATTTAGCTCATTCTGAAGGCTGTAAACAACAGCTAGCATGGCTCTCATCTGTGCTAGTGCCTACCAGTAGCTCTAAGACTCACTCACTACTGCCTTTAAACTAAGCTAATCAGACATGAGCATTCTCCAGCTGCCAGACATCTAGTAGAGCCAATCAGTCAATGCCAAAGTTGAGAAATATGCAGTTTACAGAAAAGCCATGAGATGATTTTAAAGTATTTAAGTGCAAACAGATATCTCCCTGTGGGGGTTGTTTTAAAGCAGTCTAGCTAAGATGTGTGTCTGATTTGTATTTCAAAAGGTCACCATGTCACACCTGTCCACTGTTGTTCTATAGCTCGTATGTGTGCATCGCCAAAGTCCCAGTGTTGTGCCAGACTCCTCCATTCCCCGCGGCAGAGGTGTTTGGTGGCCAGGTTCCACAGGACCAAGCGGAGGTGCCGCGTCTCTGGCTGGTGGTCCTGCTTGAAGCTCAGATGCCTCCCCACCCAGGAGTCCTGCTCACTGCCCATGTGTTCCTAAAGCCAACAGGGGGAGCAGGTTTTCATACATATAGTTTGTGTTCATTCAACAAAGCCTCCAGTTACACAGAACATTAAAGTACTTTTAAAATCGACTAAGCTGATGGATACAGGCCTCAGCATACAGCAGAGAAGGTAAATGGTCTTATACTTGTATAGCGCCTTTCTACGCTTTTACAGCACACTCAAAGCGCTTTCACGTTATTCGGCCATTCACCCATTCGCACTCTCAAGCACTCACACATTCACACACCGGTGACATCACCGGGAGCAACTGGGGGTTCAGTGTAAGAGAAGAAGCTGCAGCAGCAAACTCATACAGTGATGCTAACAAGCCATCTCACATCCATCCTGAGCTACGGCTAACAGTACACTACATGCAGGTAGCTAATCTCATTTCACTGCCAATTCATAATAATTCAGAAAATGCCTCTGTACTGCACAGGGCTGCAAGAAAGGAGCCATGCCAAGTATTCAGCCTGACTGACAGACAGGCTCATCACTCCATTTTTAATTCTGAACATGGAACAGGTGGTACGGTTTTCCTGTAATATTTTTTGTTCAGTATAACTTGGGATCAGCAAGCCCCCTGGCTGTCACACATCAAAGATAACACTGCCTCAGAACAGTGGTGCATATAAGATAATTCAGTCAATAAATAAAGCATTAGTTCCTAGGAGAGAAAGTATTTGGTATTTTGTTTTCTTATAATTAATAAAGTTATTGTAGGTGAGCCATTACAGGACCACATCTAGTGATGGGAACCCACCTTCTCCCATCTATTGAAACGGTCAGCTTTGATGATCATGTCGACCAGGATGACATGGTTTCCTCTGGCTGCCACCTCCAGACATGTTTTCCCCTGCTGCGTGTATCGTATTATCAGGAAGACCGAGTTAATCACATACCTCACTCTGCTAGATGACGTACATACAATAGATACACGAGTCATGCTGCACGCCAAGATATTACCAGGAAAACAAAGAACAATTTAAAAACACAATAGAAAAAGAGAAATGACACAGAAAACACAACCAGCCATAAAACAATGCAGCTCTATTTGTCATAATAAACTGTGGCATTGGGAGGGCGAAGAGAGAAATGCCCGGGGTGGTGTGTGTGTAGTTTGTGGAGTTTTGGCAGGGTCAGTCAGTTAGAGAGCATTTTGTGCAGTTGCACCTGTTAGTGTGTGTGTGTGTGTGTGTGTGTGTGTGTGTGTGTATGGAATAAAATGAGAAAAGACAAGCTCAGGTCTCCCAAATACAACACTATGTCCAAAATGTACACTTAGTGAGTCCCATACACTTTGACCCTCACACAGCAGGCTGATGATGTGCACGCTGTCATTTGCCATGTGTTACATTAAAAGCTCTCTGAGATTCCAGCAGTGAGGTCGACTACATCACTCACTGTGGTCCTTCATCGATTACTAGTAATCAGGGAATTTTTGTTTTACAAATATTAGTAAACATTTTTTATTTATTAGTAGAATACTTCTAGTTTATAATGTTCAGTATAATTCTGCAGCTATTTTCATCAGTCAGTTAAATCAGATTTTTATTTTGAATCATTGAGTTTAAAATGTCGACAACATTTAATAAATCCAAAGGCACATAACCAGTGATGATACAGTGGGTA